CACACAAAGGGCCAGTGGGAATACATTTGTCCATTTGACACAAAGTACAAAACTGTTGCTAAGTCACCTCAGGTGCTCACCACTGAGGGATGAATAAGGAGGACAGTTCTGGAGGCTGGGAAGTCCAAGATCAAAGTACTGGCAGATTTGATGCCTAGTGAGAACCTGCTTCCTAGTACCCAGTTTTCTTTCATGACAGAAAGTTGATGAGAAAGCTCCCTGGGGTCTCTTTCATCAGGGCACTAATCCTATTAATGGGAGCTCCACCCTCATGAACTAATCAGCTACAAAAGGCCCCTACCTGCTAATACCATCACATTGGGGGTTAGGATTTCAACATATGAATTTGGAGGGGACACAAACATTTAGTCTGCAGTACAATGTAAATAATGACAACTAAGAATACTCACATAGGCCAAGCATGGCAGGTGGCTCGTGTCCGATATCCCAGCACTTTGAGAGGCCAAAGTGGGAGGACTGCTTCAGCCCAGGAGTTCAAAACAAGTCTAGGTAACATAGCAAGACCTTAGCTCTAAAAATAAATAAATAAATAAGAAAAATCAGCCAAATGTGGTGGTGTACACCTATAGTTCTAGCTACTTGGATGGCCAATGCAGGAGGATTGCTTGAACCCAGAAGTTCAAGGCTGCAGTGAGCTATGATCTCACCCTTGCACTCCAGCCCAGGTGATACAGCGAGATTCTGTCTCAAAAAAAAAAAAAAAAAAAAAAAAGAATACTTACACAGTAAATCTGAGCAAATGTTCTATACAGTAAGTCCTCACCTAATGTCACCAATATGTTCTTGGGAACTTCAACTTTAAGCAAAATAAGGTATCATGAAACCAATTTTACAATAGGCTAATTGATATAGACAAGAGTTATGTTCCTATGGCAGATTTCTGGTCATAGAAACATTGCCAAACTTCTAAATAAAGACCTGAAACACTTCACCCAGATGCAACAAACATGAACTCATGGCCACACTTCTTTCATTTATACTCTTACCTACTTTCCCCTCACCTCCTCACCAGCGTGTTTTGTTTGGTGTTTTTGTTTGTTTGTTTGTTTTGTTTTGTTTTGTTTTGTTTTTGAGACAGAATCTCACTCTCTCGTCCAGGCTGGAGTGCAGTGGCGTGATCTTGGCTCACTGCAACCTCCGCCTCCCAGGTTCCAGTGATTCTTGTGCCTCTGACTCCTGAGTAGCTGGGATTACAGGTGTGCACCACCAATCCCAACTGATTTTTGCATTTTTAGTAGAGATGGGGTTTTACCATGTTGGCCAGGCTGGTCTTGAACTCCTGACCTCAAGTGACCCACCCACCTCAGCCTCCCAAAGTGCTGGGATTACAGGTGTGAGTCACTGAGCCTGGCCCTCACCAGCCTATGTTGAAGTAATCCAAGTTATTATAAAATTTCATTCATAGTATTTCAATATCTATCTCTAAAAGATAAGAACTATTTAACATAACAATGCTATTACAGCAGGTATACAAAGTTAAACATAATGCAAAAGGTCTGTGCATTTTAACGGTTGTTACATATTGCTACTGTCCCCTTGGAAGGATACAGCAATTTGCCCTTACAGCCCTAGTTTATAGCAGTCATCCCTGATATTATCAATCTTTTTCATATCCATCAATCTATAGCTCTCAAAACTGATGTCTTGTTCCAACTCTCACTCTATTGATTGTTAATGAGGTTGAGCAACTTCTCATTTTATATAGACCATTTATATTTCTTCTTCCACAATTACTTATTCACATTCTCTTGTATTGTTTTATGAATCAATCTTATTTTCGTATTGATTTATAAGTTTAAAGAGCAAGAATTTTAACACACATTGCATTATCTAGATTGTATACAATAGAAAACATTTGAAGATGGATTTTCAAATAACAGTATAAAGTACTCATGATAAATACATACCATGTGTATTAGTCTATTTTGTATTGCTATAACAGAATCCCTGAGCCTGAGAAGTTTATAAAGAAAAGAGATATATTTAGCTCATGGTTCTTCAAGCTGGGAAGTTCAAGATTAGGCAGCCACATCTGACAGCTTCCAATAAGGACCTCATACTTGGTCAAAACATGGAGAAATGGAAGGTGAACCAGGTTTGTATGAGAAAAGGCAAAACACTAGAAGCAACATCATTTTATTTATTTTTTGTATTTCAATGACTACAAAGGCACCTTCACTTTATAACAACCGGCTGTCTCAGAAACTAATCCATTCCCATGAGAACTAACCCCATCTTGTGAGAAGGACATTAATTCATCTTATGACCTAATCACTTAGAGACACCATCTGCCCTGCCAATATTGCCACATTGGAGACCAGTCCACAACATGAATTTTGGTGGGGACAAACAATATTGAGACCATAGCCCCGTGGTGTACTATGCAGTCTTTAATAAGTATATGTTTGTAAAAACTCATTGAATATACAACACCAAGAATGAACCCCAATGTAAACTATGAACTCTGGGTGATAATGATGTGTCAATGTAGACTCATTGATTGTAGCAAATATAACAACTCACTGTTCCCAGCTGTGGTAGCTACAGTGGAAGACTTCTTCTGTTTGATTAAACTCTCCAATCAAAAGACATAGAGTGGCTGAATAGAAGAAAACACAAGACCCCATGATCTATTGCCTACAAGAAACACATTTCACCTATGAAGATACATATAGACTAAAAAAAAGAGATGAAAAAAGATATCCATGATGATGTAAACCAAAAGGAGCAGGAGTAGCTAT